GTTTCCTTGACATGTCGGCTGCTGCCTCCGCCAGTAGCGAGTAACTCTCTACAAACCATCCCCATCGGTCTTGAGTGGGAAGGCGGCACATACCCCTCTCTTTCCAGTATTCCCGTATTCCTTCTTGAAAGGTTTGGCTTAGCAGGAGTGAGTTGTTCAGTTTGTGAAAGCTGGCCCCTTTCCTCACTTGTTGCTCAAAGCACAACGTGAGCTCAATAGGTTTATGATCCAGTCCTGGGTAGGGTGCTAGAGGTAGAATCTCCGCTTCTTTCACCGCTCCCATCATTGTGCGTGAGATCAGGAAATAGTCTATTCGTGAGAAGGTTGTATGTTGCGCATGGCTTTTCTTGATCAGTGTGAATGCTCTCGACGACGGGTGGAAGGTTCTGAAAGGGTCTATTAGTTCGTGATCCACCATCAGTCTCTGGACCGGTATTGCCTCTTGAGAGTTGTATGTGTTGGAGGATCTGGATATGCGGTCCGTTGCTGGGTCTAAGGTTGCATTCCAGTCGCCTGCTACTCTGACAGGAAGGACGTTCTTTCGGTTGCGTTGTTTGGGGCGTAGATATTGAGGAGGAGAATTTCTTCCTCTTTCCATTTAATATGCATGGAGCACCATCTGCCCACCTGGGGGTCTGCTTCCTTGATCATCACACTTCCTGCCTTGTATATGCGTGAGGAGTTGGGGATTAAGATAGTTGTGCCTTTGGTGCTTGATGCATTGTCTGCCGCCCATATTTCGTCTTTGACCCCTCCCAATTTCCTTGCCACAAATTTTCTGATTTTATTGTGTTCTGTTGAAAAGGAGAGATGAGTTTCTTGTAGCATTATTATGTCTGCAGGCGTTTTGTTTTTGACTGTTAAACCTTGGATTATGTCATTCCACTTTTCTTCTTTGTCTATGATATTTCCCAAACCATTCACGTTCCATGACCTGATGACGATTCCTTGGTCTTTCCAGCCCCTCCGGGCTTCCCTCTCGTTGGCCTTCTTCCTGAAACTCTCCATCCTCTGATTACTGTCAGGTTAGAGCGGTATAATTGTAGTTTAATGAAAGCTCTACGAAGGTGCACCCCCCCCTGTGTCCATGTCCAACGGCCCCTCCCCCCCTTGGGAGTCAGTCGTAGGCTGTCCTACACTAATCATCTTATCCATCTCCTGTCTGGGGACCACAAACAACTCTTCACTGTCCTCATTGTCTGAGTCCATTGCATCCTCCTGGTCCTCTTCTTCCTTCTCATCATCTGAATGCCATGCCTGGTCCTCCCCCTCGGATTCGTCACTCCTATAAAACCTTTCCCAGTCCACCGGATATGCCCTTGCATCTAAGTCCCCATCTCCCTCCAACATACCTGAAGTTACCAATTGAGCCAATGAGACTGCTGCCAATTCAGCCGGTAGGCTCGAGCCTGCCAAGACACTATAGGGTACAACTTGAATTGTTCTCCATGGTCTCCATTTCATTCCTGAAGTCAGAATTGCTTTGTTTGACAGCTTGACTATCAGAGGTGAAAAAGCCTGAGGTGAGTGTCTACCATGCTCTGAGTGATGTTGAGTTGCTCCCTCATGTTCTGGTTGAGAAAGTGCATCCTCCTGATCTGGGTTGCTTGGCATGGTATCATAGACCCCCAATGGATACTCCGTGGATATCTTCTCGCGGAGTGTGGTAGCTACATTTTGCCCTTCCTCAAAGCATGGAATCTGAAAGGACACATCTGTTGCAATCTGCCACTCCCCAATTTTTTCTACATATCTTGCAGCAATCAAGGGGCGGATGTTCATCAGTGTCAGTCTTGATGATTTGGCTGTCTCTACCACCAAAGGAGTCTGGTCACTGGCAATGTGTGCGATTGTTGTGAATTCTGTCGAGTATTCCTCATTCAATTTGTTCAGCTTCGCTGTTTGTGCGATTACCACGGCCGCTTCCTTTTCCAGCTGTGTGCGTGCTGATTCTTCCTCCAATTCGGGCTGAGTCATGTTCGGGTTCCTCTTCTTCTGATTTTGCCCGGATTTCCACTTCTTTGGGCGCAGATCTTGGAAATCATCCTTTGATTCTGGAGTTGTTCTATCTCTATCTTTCACTCCCTGTTCCCTTGCTCTCTTCTTTTCTACATAACTGAATGTTGTGTATTCCGATAGTTCTTCCGCTTTCACTTTCCTCAGAACATCAAACTGATTGGTTGATTTCCCAACTTCGCTCATCCCTTTCTTGCCATTTCTCTGAGATTTTTCTGCATGTTTGAGACAGGCTGCACAGATGTCAAAGGCCTGTTCCCTCTCCCTCTTCACCTTCTCTACATAGTCCCTGAGCCACTGTAGAGATCTGTGGGAATCCCATTCACTTTCCGATACCTTATTGTCCCCTTTCCCTTTGCCGCTCTCACTCGATTTCTCAGACCCAGTTCCTCCCGATTTTGTTCTCCCCTCCTCTCCTTCTTTGTCAGCTGGGAGAGTTACCACCTCCTCTTGAACATCCACTGTCTTCCTCCTCTTTGGGCCCCCTTCCTGAATCCCTTGTGTCTTTCCCTTTTCCATTGTCCTTTTGTTGTCTRTTTGAGCCCCTGTTCTGWTATGAGYTGCTGTTTGCTCCATCTTGGAGAGCATGCTTCTGAATTCTGTCGAGTCTTTGTTGAAGTGAAGTATTGCCTGTTCTTTCACTGCTTCCAGGTCCCATAACAAGTCTTCTCTATCCTTTTCTTCCTTGATAACCCGTGAATCGATCAGTGGGTCAGTAGTGATTTTCGACGGGTTGCCTGATATCTTCCCTATGGCTCTTTTTTGCCATCTGTTGTCAGCCGGGGGGAAAACATTGGGTTTTTGAACTTCTGGATCTTGATCGGCGTAATGCCACACCCAGTCCGGAGCCTCCAGATTGTCATCGAAGACCCACCCGTTGTAATTGCTGTTCGGAATAAACCAAATGCCCGGGGCATCCTCCACCTCCACCAACATGTTGGGGAGGAGCTTTCGTTCTCTCGGTTGGTTCGGATACTTGGGGCAGTTCGGGTCTGATCCCATGTGGCCTCTTTCTCTGCAGCGGAAGCAGATCGGGGAGGATTTGGTGGACACTTTGACTTCCACTGATCTGCTTTCAATCTGGAATTTCCAGGTCTGTGGGAAAATCGGAGGATTGTCTGTCTTCACCTCGATCATTGTCGTCATGGATCCACAGTGCGGGGCCAGAAAATCCGGTGTGGGGAGCACCCATTTCAGGATTCTGTTTGCCGGATATTGCCTTTCTAATCTGTCTACTAGCAGTTCATGCAGCCCCGGTTGCACATTGTCAAATTGCACCCAAAAATTTTCTTTTAAAAGTGTCTGCTTGTACGAGACCGCGAATGTCTGACTCTGCTTCTGGGAAGACAGTTTTTTCCATTTGTTGATTGTGCAAACCGAACCATGACAGTTCCTGAACTGTAATTCTGCTGCTGTTTTCGCATGTTCCTCTCGTATGAAGAGTGCCATGATGTTGTTCCGACCCAGAATCTGCAGTGTGAATGTCTCACCGGATTGTTTGAGATTCAATTCCTTCTTGATTATTTCTATGATCCACTTCCTTTTCTCAGGTGGTTGGAGGTTTGCTCCATTCCGTGCAAAGTTGAAAACCACGCCGTGCCTCTCGTGCAAATCATCCAGTGCTGCCACCTTTTCTTCCGGATACTTCCAAATGATAACTTCTTCTTCTTTGCCTTCGATCTTTTGAATCTCTGTGATTTGCTCTCCTTGGACTTTGGTTTTCTCTATTAGGAACTTAAGTGCTTCATTGTCAATAACGCGGTTGTTGCTTTCCCCCGTTCCTTGACTAGCTTGGATCGGGTTGAGGAGCGGCGATGCCATGCTGATAGAAGACAAAACTGGTGTGTTCTATCCCCTATCTTACCCATTCCCCTTGGACTGTGATAAGAGCCTCTATTACGGGTTGGAGGGGACAGTCCCTCTGATTCAGGAGAAGACTTGGGATTCTGACCGTGATCAGCACGCAACGAGACCAACCTTGATCGGCGATTTGGATCCGGGTGGTGTTAGGAAAGGAAGCGTGCGGGGGGTAAAATCTGGGATTGGAGTTGGAATCCCGTGAGTGGGGTGGTATGAGATCAATACTGTGAGTGATGGGGAGGGATCGGGGGAGGAGTGTTACGTTCGGAGTGGGGTCTAGGAGAGGACGATGTGGGGGGGGAGATGCACGTCGGGGACGGGGTGGGAGTCGGACTGATGTCTGGATAGGAGGAGAGTGGGAGTAGCGGGGGTAGGAGCTGGTTTGCGTTAGATATTGAGAATCGAGCCCGGGCGGTATGGGTACGGATTGGGATCGGGATGGGATCGGGGTTGAATCGGGTGGGATTGAGGCAGGAGTGGGGTTGGGATATATTAGAGATAAGATCGAGTTGGGATCGGGAAAGGGTAGAGAAAGGATGGGGTGAGGCCAGTTTCCATTCGGGATGAGATCGAGGAGAGAGAGGAGTGGGGGTAAGGTGAGTGTGGTTCGAAGATGGGTTGGGATCGGAGTGTGAACGGGATTGGATCGGATCGGMCTGGGGTCGAGGTGGGGTTGGGGTATATTTGAGGTAAGAACGGGTTGGGATCTCGATGGGGTAGAGAAGGGATGAGGTAAGATCGGTTGATGTTC